GGATAGGAAGTACTTTGGAAAGAGGCTCCGGTGAAGCCCGGGAAGAGGACTTGGCAGGCGAAGGCCAGGCAGAGCATCGTGGAGCACCGAGACGGGACAGGGCGCGTCCAGGTTGTTTAAATTATGAGTTCGTGGTGATGGTACGAAACAAATTCCTCACTGGTGGCTCTGGATGGAAAGAAGCAAGCATTTATCCTGACTGCTTTCACCATCAGAATGAATCCCTGGGTAAGCAAGGCATCCTGACGAAGGACACTCTTAAACACGCTCCAGCCGTCAGTGGGAAGGAGCAGTCAGAGTCCAGGTATGGGCCCTTCGCGGGCTGGAGGGAGTGCTTGGACCTGGTGTGCCGATCACCCCTGATGCCAGTGTCAGGAAGAGACCAGCGGCCACCTTGTGCCTCCTGATTGGAGGTCCAGCATCGCTTTGGAAAATGAGCCAGAGCCTGGCCAGGCCTCCAGACGGACCAGACACACGGGATATGTTTGGTAACTCGCGCCGTGGACATGCAGGCAGCAGGAGGGGGCTCTGCAGGACAGCGACCTGATTCCGTCCACAGATTAATTTCATGGGGAGAATCATGGTAAAGGGAAAACTTCCAGTGCAATTTTGGATTTTTCTGGAAAATATATTTCAAGTTTGTACTTACTCAAGTTTTATTTACTCGATGCAGTTCAGTTTAACTTTGTTATTAATCTTTTGGAGACTTTTAACACATTATCTTATAAAATAAGATATTATATGCTTTTTTTGGCCAGGGTCTAGCCCCACCCTACTTTTTTCCTTTTTCCTCTTCTAAATCAATAAACTTTGTGGGTTTTTTTTTTTTTAGCAGTTTTGCACGTATAGAAAATTGAGCCAAAGGAAGAGAGAGTTCCAGAATACCTCTGTTTCCCTGACCCCCAGTTTCCTTTATTTTTTACATTTTATACTAGTATGGTGCATTTGTTAGAACTGATGAGCCAGTATGAACCTGTTGTCATTAAGAAAGTAGCTGAAATGTGGAATTCACATTAGCATTCATCACTGGTGTTGGGCGTTCTCTGGGATCCGATGTGTGCCATGATGTATGTGATGAAATGTTTGATGCTGTGCAGTACAGACACACTGCGGTGGATCAGAGCAGGCCCACTGCCCAAAACTTCCCTGGGCTCCCTGTCTCAGTCCCAGTCTCCCAGTCCCTGACAACCACCGTCCTTTGACCTTTTCCAGAGTGCCCGTTGGTTGGAATCGTGAATCTGAAGCCTTTCAGATTGGCGTCTTTTGCCTAGCAGTATGCGATTTGGGTTCTTCCGTGTCTTTTCATGACTTGACAGCTCATTTCTTCTTTTCAATTAGTGCATATTATGCAGAATAATAGATTCATCTTGGCATATTCACATATGTGTATTACACACTTTGATCATTTTTGTTACCCATTACCTCACGCCCCATTTCCTTTTATTCATGAATAATATTCTGTTGTTGGCTGCCCCAGTTCGCAAGTCCATGTGTCTTTGGCTGCTCCCAAGTTTTAGCAATTTATGAATAAAGCTGCTATAAAGATGTGCATACAAGTTTCTCGGTAGACATAAGTTTTCAGTTCGTTTAGGTAACATCGTGGAGCATGATTGCCGAATTGTGTGTTAAGACTGTGTTTCGTTTTATAAGAAACCACCGACCTGGCTTCCAGGGTGATGGTGCCATCTTGGATCCCCAGCAGCAGTGAATGGAGCTCCTGCTGCCCCTGGTCCTTGCTGGCATCTGACATTGTCTTTGCCTTAGATTTTTCCCGTTATAATAGAGTGTGAGGTGCTATCACATGGTTTTGTCAGTTCCCTAGTGACACGCAATGTTAAGGAGCTTTTCATCTACTTATTTGCCTTTTATATATCTTCTTTAAGAACACATCAGTTTGGCCATTCTAGTTTTTAAAAGATGATTATTTTCCTGTTGAATTGTAAGTTTTTTGGATACACATCCTTTGTCACTTATGTGTTCTGGAAATATTTTCTCTCAGAGTGTGGCTTTGTTTTTGTGCTTGTTATTCATTCTAACATCCAATTTTATTGTCAGTTTGGAAAAATTTTTGATTAAAGAAAATAATTCAAATCGTGGAGAATAAAACTTGCTTACATTGCTTGGGGGATGTGCCACTTTTTGGATCAAATCCTGTGGATTGTTGGCTACAATATTGCCATTTGCTCTGTCAGAAGTGGAAACGTAAGTGTTAAGAGGGAAATTCCAGGAAGAGGGAAAAGCACCTCTGACTAATCACTCTAGGGAATGAAAATCAGCTTTTCTGCTTGCTATCCTAGTAAGTGGTGTGTGTGATCCGAGACTGCTTTTGAGTCAAAGATGACTTAACAGCATGCCGGAATGATGAGATTGAAAATGCTTTGCCACGTGTAGTTAGGTGAATTTCTCCATTTATTTACAATACCCCTGTGAATGTTTTTTAAAGCTACTCAGTCTTTGACTCACAATGGCTGTATGTCTCCAAATCCAATGACAGCAACATCTGATCGCTTGCTGAACCGCATGTCTTTGAGAACCATGTATTTAATGTACTTTCTCCAAGATTTCTAGTGTGGTTGTTGAGCTTTGGTCGGGTATTTGAGGCTATTACCTCTGTGGATGTCAAGAGTAGGAAGAGCTGCCTTGCAAAGTTGAGCAATGTGCTAGGAAAGAAATCATCTGAATTAGAAGAATCATGAATTTTTTTTTTTTAAATCAAGAAAGATCGCAGAGGGCATTTGGTCCGAGACTGAAAAAATAGGTTCAAATCATAGCCAAACCCCATCACTGGGGGCATCTTTCTCATCCAGCCACAGCGCATAATCAGCCTACTCCATCTTTCTTCAAAGACGAGGAAATGGAGACCAGAATGACCTAGTGACCTTTTCTAAAATCACCCAGCTAGGTGGTAGCTGTGTTGGCATTTAACGGGTGGGAATATCATTGTCTCCAGGCTGTATAACCATGTGCGGTAGATTAGACAATCAGATCGTGATACACAGGGAAAGTAGGAGTCAAGTCAGCCAAATAGTCCCACTTCAGCTCATCCATGACATCCATCAGGCAAATGGAAGTGCGTGCTGCAAGGTGGCTCGTGGAATCAGTGCCAGGCAGCCTGTGGCGTGTGCCACGGGATGCTCTGATGGAGGCTGGCTCTAATATGCCTCTGTTTACTCATTGAGAAAGTGCTTGGACAGTGACTGGTGCGTGTGGGTGGTTGTGTGTGTGTTGTGGATAACGTGGTCTAACTAGAGCAACTAGATAGTGAAAAAGGTAACCGGTGTAAAGAAAGAGCAGGACGTGTTCATGCTAACTCCGATTCCTGGAACCAGCAGGAGTTGTACCCAGGCTGTTACAGAACACATGCATGACACCACGCTCCGGGCTAGTGATTCTGCCATTTCCAGCCACTGGGCTTGATAATGGCTGACATTCGTGGCTGGCATGGTGGAGTGAGGTTGACTATGTTATTTTAATGCCAGCCTTCCAAAGAGGCAGGTGATGTCATGCCCGTTGCACAGAGAGAAGAACAGAGCCTCGCAGAGCTGCAGGAAACGTACTAAAGACCCAAGCCCGGGTGCCATCTGGTTCTGAAGCCCCTGGGCACCACCAGCCCCGTCTGACTTCTCCACACCTCCGCTGTTAACTAGAAATAACTCCAGAAGAAGCATCACAAGGGCCAGTAGTATGTGAAAACTTTGATTTGTCAAGCATTATTTAGAAATAACATGCTGTTACTTAGAAATATTTAGACAAATAGCATTGCATTTTTGTACCATTTATTCATATGTGATGAGCCATGTGCTGTAATTTTGCTAAAAAAATTATTTATTGTCATACTTTCTGGAAGTGAATTTTTTTTTTTGCAAATGCATCATTGAATATTTAGCTAGCTACCATTGCAACTTTACTATCATAAATCTACCCTTTTTCCCAAGCAGTCATGCCTGAGGAGGCTGAGTAATTAAATCTCAGCACAATTATGGTAGCGTGGCCACACCCATCACCCACAGCTCTTCTGAGTGCTTCTTTTGGCCTCGACGTCATTTGTCAGTTTTCATGTCTCACTATTAGTACATTAGATCTTAAAGACAAATATGCTTCATGTATGAGATATAAAATATTAGTACCACACAAACAGAAAAGTAATTTAGCTTAATTGTTGCCAGTTAATCCATGGCAGACTTCAAGACCATGTTTAAAGAACTTAGGCATTGCATGAAAATATAGGAAAATATATCAAGATAAATTAAGCTGATAGATCCCCCCATGAATACTTCTCCCCCTTTTTCCAGGTAACTACTTGATGATCCAAAATAAGCATATGCATCAGTATTTTATGTCTGTAGGGTAATTAAAAATCATTAAACTTGATGTTTTGTTGTGTTTAATAAGTGTTCTGGCATGCTCCAGGAGGCTGAGGCAGGAGAACTGAAAATTCAAGCCCAACCCTGGAGACTTTAGTGACTCAGCAAGACCTTGTCTCAAAATAAAAACGAAAAAACAAGGCTGGGGACAGAGTGTGAAGGTTCTGGAGAAAAAAATTACTTGTTTTCAGAGAAATTTGGAAATGGGAGTACAGGACTGAAATGCATGGCAAAAATTAACCATAGCCCGGTGAGCTTAGTTTACCCAGCCTTGGGAAATGACCTGTGGAGTTTCTGTGTGAGGACCAGCATGGAAAGTCATCGGTGCGGGTCCCCCATGACCAGGCCAGGCCAGGGCATCCTTTTCTCGGGCTCAGATTTTTACAGCTCGGTGAGCCAAGTTGGGGCCCCCGAAACAGGGCTGCCGTGGCCCCCGCGTCCCGTTAGCATCTGGGCTTTTCCTCATCGCAAAGTAGCCGCGGCTTCCGGCAGGGGACCAAGTCTTTGAGCCTCTGTGCTCCACGGCGCCTCGGGATGCGGGTGATGCTTGTCACTCTCTGGACACTGTGGGCCCAGGCTCGCTGCCCCAAACGGCCGCCTCGCAGCGCGGGACTCGTCTTTGCTCTGTTTCCGCAGAAGCGCTCCCGAGGGCAGATGCTGTTCGACAAAGTGTGTGAGCACCTGAACCTGCTCGAGAAGGACTACTTCGGCCTCACCTACCGCGATGCCGAGAACCAGAAGGTGAGAAAGCACGGGTGGGTGGGTGTGCTGACCACAGATTCCAGTGGATTCTAGGAAAATCGGGTACTTGGCTGCTTATGCAGAAAACACGCTCGTGCCCCAGATTTCTGTGCAGAAACTGACTGTAGTTGTGATGCAGCTGTCAGGGCTGCTCCCTGTTGGAACTGCTGTCCTATTCTTAATTCACCTTAATTCTTACTTCTTACTTCACTTTCTCACCAGTCAGGTCGGCGTTGGCTGGCCTCATACCTGTGCACAGTCTTGGCGGTGTTCAGGGTGTCAGGCATTGCCTCTGTGGGCGCCCACACCCGCTCCGTGGAAACCCAGCCTTCTGTTGGAGCTCACCCCGCAGCTAGCTGCAAAATGAAAAAGAGGAATCGTTTCCATCGTATTGATGCGAAACACTGAGTGGTGGAGGCTTTGTTTGTAGAAGTTACTCGTTTGTGCATTGTACCCTAATGAAGTCACTGGGCAGTGTCCGATTTCATCATTACACATCTGATTTTTCCGGTGAGGAACAGGTCAGAACTCAAGCAAACATCCCATTCATTAGGAAATTTTCCGGTAGATGCCTCTCAGTCTGTGATCGCAGGCGTCAGTCACCTAGGCATGAATGGCTAAAACCATGGAAAGGCGCATGGATCTTTATTCTGGGAATTTATGTGAACTTAGAGTCTTTTGTTATTTCCCTTCTGCTTATGCATAGGCTCAAGTCCCTAAGGTAATTGTTGTAAAAAAGAACAGAAAGAAAGAAAAAGGCAACCTGTGAGGCAGGAATTGTCCCCGTGCGCCTCTTCCCCGTGCTGGGTCCGTGTCAGGACAGAGCAGGGCCTGGCTGCAGGTCACAGACGCAGGAAGGGCAGCAGGGCAGGGCGGTGGTGGGGGTGGTGGGGGACCCCCCCGCGATCACCGCCTCAGTATCTAATCCTCCACCCATTTCTATTCTTCTCTGATTCAAACTCAAAATGTCATTTCTTTTTCAGAACTGGTTGGACCCTGCTAAGGAAATTAAAAAACAGATTCGAAGTAAGTTTTTTCCGATTGTTTTATTGCATAAGGTGAAGATTTGTAGCGTGTGGAGTGATAACCACATCCCAGTGGCCAATGGGAATGGTTTTTCAAAAGACAGAGTCCAAGCTCAAGTTGGATCGGTGAAATTGGTCCAGCTTTGACAGCACCCATTTTCTGTCATCTCGACTGAGAAATTAAAGTGACTTTGACACTTGGCCAGTCCCCCGTCTCTACACAGATAGGAAACGCATCTCAAGCGCCATGCCAGTTGTCAGTTAATCATGTAAAGTTTCAAACTTAATATTACATTAAGCCAAATTGCCACAAACATATGAAAGCCAACCTAAAAGTAGTAGCCACATGAGAGTTTTCAAAAATGGGATAACAAATAAGACTGAAGTTATTGTCTGGTGACAACCTCTTTTCTGGGGCCCTGAAGATAAGTAGAGAAATGTGTGTTTCCTAATGGACAAGAAAAAGTCCATGAGCTTCTCAAAAATTGAAAAGTAGCTAATAAATACTAAGCAAGTTAAGACAACTAATGATTAAAGGCAAATTAAAAGGAAACGTCCTGGGCTTGGTTATGGCTTAGGTGTAGAGCAGTTGCCTAGCAGGCTGGAGGACCTGAGTTCAATATCTAGCAGGTAAGGAAAAGAAAGAAAGAGAGAATGAAGAAGAGAAAGAAAAAGGGAAAGAAGAGAAAGGAAGGAAACAACAAAAACTAGCATCACAGAGAAAAGGGAAAGGAAGAAAGTTGAGGAAGGAGGGAGGCGGGGAAAGAAGATAGATCGTTTTTCACCTCTTTGGATTAACAAAGACTTAAAAAATTTAACAAGTTTAATAATAAATTTCACTGGCAAGTACAATCCCAGTGGACAGAAGTATGAATTGTTGCACAGTAGTTTTTATTAAAATTTAAAATGTACTTGCTGTCTGACCTTTAGTTTTGCGTGAAGACTTTTATTCAGCATTTGTGTTAGAGAAAAAATGCACTTGTGTGCACATGAAATATCATTTCTAACGCTGTTTGCAGAAGCAGAAAACTAGAGGGAGCCTAAATATCTGTTTGTAAAGAAATGATGACATCAATCGTAGAAGAGCTGCAGAAATAGGGCTTGGTGTGGGGAAAAAATGAGAACCAAGACCTGTCATGTAAGGTACAAGACCCCAATGATGAATGTAACTGTACTGTATACCTAAAATGTACCAATAAACTCAATGAGAAAAAAATTTCAAAAAAGAAATAGGGGTTGGGTCCTGTTAGTGAAAAGTAGGTTGCCAAAATAGTGTTTACCACATTTCTTTTTAAAAAGTTACATATACAGAACTGCATGGGAAACTTGTGGGGCACATGAAAGATAGAAGCAGTAATCAAAAATAGGGGGTAGAAAAGGAGGGTTTTGTTTTATCCTTTAACACTTGCTTTTATCACATGTGTATATAATCTTGAGTAGCTGATTTTTTTTAATTCGTATTTTTATCAATAAAACCTAGATTAATTCTCCTGAACACCTGACTCTTTTTGAAGGATGAATTTAAGACCAGTTTATTAATGGGAGCATCATTGCCATTCAGGTTTTCAAATAGCTTCCTGTTAAAGAAAGAACAGGGCAAGGGCCAGGGATTTAGCTCAGCGGTTCGGTGGCCTACCTCGCAAGCGCAAGGACCCGAGTTCAATCCCTGGTACCAAAAAAGAAAGAAAAAAAGAAAAAAGAAAGAACAGGGCAGGGGATTTAGCTCAGTGGTGCCACTGCCTGCCTCGCAAGTGCAAGGTCCCATATTCGATTCCTGGTACCAACAAAAAAAAAAAAGAAAGAACAAACACTTCTTAGTACCTGTGTGAGTTCTGAAGTAGCAAAATACCCTATGTATTAATAAGTTGTAAGTGCTAGGAAGCAGTTTGAAATGGTTCAGTGTGAAGTAACACCCCTGGATCACTATATTTCTAGATATTAGAGAATGTGTTGGTTACTTATACAAATAACATCACCGTATTTCTAGAGAAATTTGAGGTATCTACGAACTAGAAACTTGATTATGAATTAGTTTATAATTGAGTTTGAAAACAAGAATGGCTACAGTGTAATACATAGGTGAAAATACTTTTTCTTGTTCCAAGGAACCCTAATAAAAAGATTAAAATGATGAATATGGTCTACATATCTTTTTATGGAGTTATTAAAAGCAGATATGCATATATTTTTGCCCCCTCCTTTCTCATTTGTGCTCCCTCCTCAGAGAATAGAGACCCCCAAAAATGTGAGACTTGAAAGATGTTTCTGTCCTGCAGATCAGGACGTGTAGGTGACTGTCCATCTTGCAGAGGAGGGGACAAGGAAAATTGGGATGCTTTTAAAAGTACAATTTGGTATTTCTACCTCTATTCCTTGCTGTTTGCTATCCACTAAAATGCCTCTCTGCCCCAAAGCAGAGAAATATTATCAGATCTAATGTTCTAATGGTAAACATCGCCTCCTCTTCCCAGCACAGGTGATGAAAGGCTTTCCCGCCCTCATTATGCCAGGCCACAGCCCGTGGAGACCATGCTGATGAATAAGAATTTTAAATTATAAATTTATGATACATAGTAAATTCTGAAACTGAAGAATGTGTTCTTCGGAACCAACTTTGGTCCTGCATGATACATGCCTTATCTCAAATGAAACTCTTAAATGCACTCTATTTTGTGACTGTGAATACGGTATATTTGTGATATGGAGGATATGGTTTATAGTGGTTTTATGATACCAGTCCAGTCTGTTTTGAAATCATAACATTTGGCATTAGAAATATTTCACGAAAACGAATTCCACTGAGTGCCACAATTTTGTATTTATCATAAAATTTTAATTGAAAACCCTCCATTGGCTTTATAGAAAATAGATTTTAGAGCCGGGGATTTAGCTCAGTGGTTCCGGTGCCTGCCTCGCAAGGACAAGGACCCAAGTTCTATCCCTGGTACCAAAAGAAAAAAAAAGAAATACGGATTTTATCGTGTCCAAACTTGTTCGTTTCCTGTTGCTGATCAGGGCCACATCTGAGCGGCCTGGGGCCTGCAAGCCAGCTCGTGCATGAGCTCATTCTTCAGAATGATTTATCTCTGTTCTCTTCTCAATGGGGAATTCGTCTGCCTGTTAATTTTTGGTTTTGTGCCTCACTTCATTGAGGATTTTTTTTTTCCAGTACTGGGGATTGAACCCAGGGTCTTTACACTGAGCTACAACCCCATCCTCTTTTTAAAATCTCTTATTTTAAGAAAGTGTCTCACCACATCACCAACTTGCCTAGACTGGGCTCAACCTTGGGATCCTCTTGCCTCAGCCTCCCAAAGTGTTGGGAAACATGTGTGCCACTATATATATTCAGCTTCACTGACATTTTGCCCCCACCACCGTTGTGATGTCTCTTGTAGTATAGTTTCTCTAAACTTCACCATTTTTTCAAAATAATGTCCCACAAGACCTTGTAGTTAGTTTTCGATAAATAACCTTAGGAATGTCGTGGGCTTCGTAATGGTGATCTTCGCTGTGATTCAAATCCCTCCTGTATTAGAACCACAAGCGAGCTTATTAAAAGCTCAAGTCTGTACCACAGTCCAGATCCGAGGAAGAAAAATCTTGGAGATGGAGCCCAGGAACTGGTGTTTTTAACAAGCACTTCACACACTTCTGAGACCCAGTGTCATTTGCAACTTGCTCTTCTAGAATGAAGATTTTTTGCACTGAAATGTATTTCTCATGGTTTTATCACTTGTTTCCAATGGAGAATTTTCACCGAGTTTATTATAAGATTGTTTAATTACATTGCTGGGTTCAGTGGAAACAGTGTACTTTGTTGTGGATGAAAATTACAAAAGAGCAGTAAATCCATTTCCCATAACTAATCCATTATTTTTAATTCTGCTTGCTTGAGAGAGAAGTCAGCTCTCATGATAAAACCTTATTATTGGCAAACACTGGAGGGTTATATTTCAGTAGAGAGTGAGCAGGAATTAATAGAAAGGTAAAACGAAATCAGACTATTTTTGGAATAACAAAAGAAACAGCAGGGAAAAAAACAATCCCAAGACACATATTTGATGGACAGAGGTTTTAGGATTTCTAATTCTTCCATCTCATGTTTCAGTGATACTTTGAGTGGTTTAAAGATGATATTAAATAGCTAATAATATCCAGTCCTCTGCTAAATCCCTCCTGGGACCACTGGGGTGAGATACTCAGTGTGCAGAACCCTGAGTGTGATGTGCAGGGCAGTGTTAGGAATAAGCTGAAGGAATCCGTGGATTGATGACAGAAATGTAGGAAACTGCTGGAGCTTAGTATTCCTGTGTATAAAAAAGAACAGTGCCAGAAAGGAACTGATGTTTGGGAAGAGCTCGTGGAGAAAGTGGAGTTTCTGGATGGTGTTACATGGAGTGGGCGCATTTGGGTGTCTTAGGAGATCATTGAAAGCATATGGGGTGTCGTGGCAGGGGGCAGGCAGGACAGCAAATGCATGGCCTGATGGGAAGGCTCCTGGGATAGAAGCTGGGAGACCTGGGACGAGTTTTCCATGGCCTCGGGCAAAACACAGCCAGGCCCCAGGCGGAGAAACTTTCAATGTGAAAGCAGCCCTCAGAGAAATGATACCCAGGTCTTGGTAAATGACTACATTGAAAAGCCCAAAGGAAAGAACCAGGTGAATACATTTAAAAGTGATTGCAAAGAGAGTAAGTGTAGAAACAGATGTCTTTTTCATGTTCATGTTGATAAATTGTTCACAAGCAAGGGCAGCATCATGAACTACTGAGTATGGGAAGGCCGTTTCAAAGGTCAGTGTGGAGTAGGCCTCTGCAAACTTGGGTCCAGCTAACCCTTTTCACGGCTGCAGCAACGTTAAGTCGATGCCACCGTGTAAAGGTCCATCTGATCATGGGCTACAGAGGCGTAGCATTGCATAACGTACCGGAAATACATTCAGTATCTGTCTCATCTCGAAGTTCCATGAGTGAACAAAGACTTCAGCAGAGCAAACCAGTTATTAAAGCATTATTCACAACAAACCTTTCCCATAAAACTATTGTCCCTTGACATTAATAATAATGGAACTTGAGCTATAATAAAGCAAAGAGGACAAAGAAAATGGGAATCATGTCCGTAGTGGTGTTCTGTGAGTTTCCCAGAAATTCATAGCAATAAATCCAGTTCCAGACCTATCTGATGGAGGATTGCCCATATCGTTTACTCTTTTCCCTTCTTCCGGTGGCTTATCTTTGATGCTGAGAATGGAAGGAAGTTCGGTTAATTGCCTTGCGAGTTAAAAGTGCCAGTGAAGGATTTGATAGAGGACAAGACTGGAAATTAGAGGAGGTTTCAGGCTTCTCTATGGCTTCATGTAACAGAGACGTCCTTGTTTCCACTAGTGATCAGAACTGCCTGGGTGTTAGGGCTTGGAGTAAGGTCTTTCCAGCAATCACTTAAAACTATAAGTGAGTTTTCTACAGTCTTACTCAAATTTCTTTTTCCTCTCCCTACAGGTGGTGCTTGGCAATTTTCATTTAATGTGAAATTTTACCCGCCAGACCCTTCCCAGCTATCTGAAGACATAACCAGGTATTTGACGGCTGTCTGTGAACAGGACAGCCACACTGGGGGGTGCTGTGAGCCCCTTGGGGTCTCCAGAGAAGAGTGCACTTAAGTGTATGGCCTTCCAGTCACCCGTGCTCACATGCCAAGAAAAAGACAACTCAGTGCGCACAAGCATCTGATGAGAGGTTTGCCAAGTCCTGTCTGGTAACAGCTGAGTCTTCGGTGCTAGCCTGATATTCCCTTCTCCCGGCCCTGCTGTGAAAACACGCAGGATGCAGATGCTGTCACCCATCGGCACAGAATTGGTTCTCTTAGAGCCTCACGCTTTGTGTGTGACAAACTTGAAATTTCATAGCTGTTTTAAAAATCACACACACACATACACATAGGAAGATACAAACAAATGCATATAAAGCTAAGAGTTTGCTTTTTATGCCTTCCATGTACAAGGAAACTGATTAATTTGTTTTCTGGTAAGAGGTTGAGAAAAGAATCTAACATAAAAATACTGCAGCTTGGTGGCTGAGCTAAGTGCAGAAGGGACTCATTTGAGAAGCAGTGTTGGGTGGCTCTGTCCATTCAGGTTAGTGTCATGAACTGTCATGGCCTGGCTGGCTTATAAACAACCGAAACGCATTTCTCACTGTTCCAGAGCCTGGAAGTTCCAGGTCAGGGTTGTATTTCCAAGAGGCTCAGCTTCTGGCTGCAGATTCCTGCACTCCTGCTCTCTCTGTCCTGCCAGAAGGTCTCCCTTTGGCTTCTTCTGTATGGCTGCTGATCTCCTTGATAACCCAGTCACCTCCCAGAGCCCCTGCCTCCTACTCCAGCACCTCGGAAATCGATTGCAGCACACGAGTTAGCGGGATGGGGCAGGACGCGGACGTGGAGTCCTCCTTCCTGGCTTCCCACACGTTCTCCTAGTCATCCCCTGACTCCCCCTCTGTTGGCTATCTGTTGATGACCAGACAGAGTGGCTCTGTCCTACTACAGCCTCATGCCTCCTTGGGGGGGCACTTTGCATGGAAGAGAAGTTACTCCAAACAGGTTCCGTCCATTGTTAGGATTAAAAACCAGATATATCTGGAGAAGGGCAACAATGAGTTTCTTTGCTATTTTAGATCTCCTTCATACTTGCAGTAACTCAGAGGGAAGATACTTTTTAGCCAGTATTGAGGGATTGTCTTACTATGTGACTGTGGAGGCTGCATATACCTAGATTTGAAACTTCAGGGGTTAGTTTCTTTCTAATCAGCTGTGTAGTGTTCGGAGAAACTGTCAGGCGTTTAAGGATTTTTATAGCTGGTTATGTGGATTTCACTTACACTGAGAGGGACTTCAAGATTTTACATAGTCATCCCTTTTGACAGAATGACAGTTCGTTGCTCGTGTGAAAGGTAGGTGACGGGTATTACTAAAATTCAACAGTGTTAACACTCCACTGTGAAGTCTTTTGCAGCTGGTTAAGTCACACCTGTAAATTTTAAGGCAAAATAAGGAAGACTACAAATCAGCTGTTAGTGAAGATATTTTACGCTATCATGGCAAAATTTCATGAAAAATGTTTTATATTGCTTCAGTTTACAACTCTTTGCTTACAGTGACAAGGGTCTCAGACTTTAAGGTCGTAGTTCTTTGAAGTTAGTGTTCAGCTGAGTTAAACTCTGGGTGACAGCCTAGCTCACGAAGGCACAACTGATGTTACCGGAAGTCTGGCTCGATCACATAGAAAGACCTGTCGTCTAGATTTGAGATGAGACCTCTGGAAGGCTGCTTGGGGCTCAGTGTCATATTTAAGAGCATCATTTTTATATTATAATTTCCTCAACCTAGTATTTTTGGGAGTATGTTGGGAGCTGTTCATTTGACTTTAAAAGTTAAATTAAAAGCTGTTAGGAAAACACCTTTAGATTCCTTTTGCTCTGTACATTACCAGTGAAATCCAGTTTTATGTTGAACATGGCCTTTGTCTAGGGACCCTTAAATGTCTTTGGTAGCCCAGGGCTTGTCCCGTGTAGATGAAGAACATGTCCGCGTGCACAGATGTTAGCGACTGTGTCCCAGCTGGTCCCCCAGGGCGCGGGCTGTCCCGCGTGTCTCACGCCGGCCTCTGTCCTGAAGGTACTACCTCTGCCTCCAACTGCGCGACGACATCGTGTCCGGACGGCTGCCCTGCTCCTTCGTGACCCTCGCCCTGCTGGGCTCCTACACGGTCCAGTCAGAGCTTGGAGACTACGACCCTGACGAGTGTGGCAGCGATTACATCAGCGAGTTCCGCTTCGCCCCAAACCACACAAAGGAACTGGAGGACAAAGTGGTCGAGCTGCACAAGAGCCACAGGTCGGTGGGGACGCTGAGCGTGACGCGGCTGGAGCGTCGAGGTGGGGGGGGGCTCTCCGGCCGTCCTGGTCATGCTCTCGGTGCGTGAGTCGCACCTGGGAAAGCTCTGGGGTGGGTGAGAGCCCCGCAGAACAGCCAGCTGTGCCCTTGCAGGGTCTTCCCTCAAAGCCCTTCATCTCCTTATGCCTTTCTTACTCACGGGTGGAGCCTCCCTCTTCTAAACTGCTTAGGACCACAAGTATTTCAGAGTTTGGAATACTTGGATGTAAACAATAAAATACCTTAAGGAAGGGAACCCAAATCTAAACGCAAAATTTGTATTCCACATGCTTTTTATACACAAAACCTGATGGTGCTTTTACACAGTATTCTTTCGTGTTCCTGTGCTTTGACTGCCACCAGTCACGTGAGTTCAGGTGTGGAACTTTCCCCTGTGGTGTCATGTCCATGCTTAACAACTTCAGACTGTGGAGCCCTTGAGGCTTTTGATATCTGATTAGCGGTTTTCCACCTGCATCTGCCCATCAGTCACTGAGGGCTTGTTTGTAAGATAGCAAAGAACTAAGTGGGAAATTTTAGAGCCCCACCAGATAAAAGAAAATCAGCTAACTTTTTAATTTCTAATTCTAACCGATAAGCAGGGAAACCAGCCTTGTAATACATTTTTTTTCCAATCAGAGGAATGACGCCAGCAGAAGCAGAAATGCATTTCTTGGAAAATGCCAAAAAGCTCTCCATGTATGGGGTGGATCTACACCATGCCAAGGTAACGCCTTTTCAAACCCCCACACTCTCAATTTGCTGTTGTTATTTCAGTAAGCTGGCAATTTTTACATCCATTAATGTAAACAGAATCTTTGAGGGTTCAGTTTGTGTTTGCCTTTTACGCCTTATTCCATGATCAAACAGTCTTAGCTCTGACATTCACCGAAGGTTGGTCTTTGTGGCTGAGTCATAGGTACTTTCTCATCACTGATACACCATACCTGACACCCACAAGTTGAAGGAAGAAAGGTTTATTTTAGGTCACAAGTTGTAGAGGTGTCAGTCCATCCTTAGCTGGCTCCAGGGCAAGGTGGCTTGGCAGTAGAGAAACAGTCCATGGCAGGGCAGGCAAGGAGCAGCGAAAGATGAGGAGAGGAGGGCAGTGGACCTTCCAAGACCCATCCCAGTGACCCATCTCTTCCCAGTGCCACACTGAGCTCTAATCCACTGATGACCATCACACCCCCGTAATCCAGTCACCTCCCCACACCCACATCATGAGCAGGTGAGGCTTTGGGTGATGTCTAGATATAAACCATTACACTTAGGTTTCTCCCGGCCCAGGCCTCAAGGAAGCCCGTGGTAGTCAGTTGATTCTGTTGGAAACATCCCTTGACCAAACAAGCTCTTGGCTCACCTGCCCTCCTGGCTGCAGGTTACAAGGCCACCAAGTGCCCTTTCCTCCCACCAAGCACTGTCTCGCCTTTTCCCCAAAATATGCCCCCTTTGTCTGGACTGTCAGGCTCCTTCCTGTCCATCTTTCTGAATGAACTTGGCTGATTGTCCAAGCCCCAAGTGTCACATCTGTTATGTATGCCCTGTTCTGGAACCCACCCAGGCACTTACAAGTTCATGTTAAATTTATTCTGTCTCTAAAGTTTAACTATTGTGCTATATAACCAGAACCTTGAAATAAGATTTTATTTTTAAAAGTTCCAACTAAAATTAGGCCTCCAAGCCAAGGATGGTATTGCAAACTGGTATCGGGTGTAAGGTTAGAGGTGTATCCTGGACAGAGAGAAGCTGGACTTGAGCCCTGGGAGGGTTTCGGCTATAAGGGAGGAGAGATCAGCATGGACTTGGTACCATGCTTTTTCTAGAATCTCTGCTTCTCAGTGGTGAATGAGCCTGTAGACTACTAGTCTGCTCCTTAAATAGCCATGAACAAAAGCACTGTGCTGTTTCAGGAAAGCTTTTGTAAAAACTTTTATCTGCAAAATAAGTGACATTAGGGTTCTAGGGTTGGATTCTGGTACTTCAACAGTGATCAAAAGGTCACTCTCCAAAGTTCAGGGGTAGTTTCTTCTGATGGCAGCTGACAAGATAATATTGTCCTTCATAGGGATGCAGATTCAAGCTCTGTTAGACAGTGGGCAGTTTCACAGTCTGGGACTCACAAGGATGTGTGATTATAGGCTTCCAGGCAAATGGTGTCTTACATGGAATCAGGTTCAGGGACTAGAAATGAAGAGACTTCCAGCTGGCTGTGCTCAGGCAAACATCTTAACAACCCTGATAACCCAAGAGGTAAATCTGTGATCTGTAAGTTCCATTGCTGATGAAAGGGAGGCTGTTGTGTGGCTGTTGTTGACATCAGGGAGCACACTGATCCACTGTGAGGTTGGACAGGAAGTTGGGGGGGGGCATCGAGTCTGTGGGGTTTGATTGGTCATGTCTGTGAGGTTCGCAAGGCCGGAGCAATGGCAGTGTCTCTGAGGCTTGGCTGAGGCTTCCGCCAGGGAGGTGCTGGGATCTTGGATGCCGGGCACATTGACATTTGTGTGTAATTACAACAGCAGGTGTAGCTCTGTTTATTCGCCAGTTCATTACTATGCCTTTTCACTTAGTTCACAGTCAGATAACAAAGTGCGTTGTAATTTTTGCCAAGTATAAGTTAGTGGGAAGATTTCAACATAAAAATATGATCCAGGTTCTAAGATCTTTTTATTTTATTTTTCTAAGAGTTTTTAACCTAACTGGCTGAACGATAAGGACACAAGAAGAAAATGAAATTAGCATGAGATTTTGAGCTAATCAAAAGTATTTTGGGTCACATCCTGTACTTTGATTTACTGCCTAGACAAAAAATAAATACATAAGGATTAGAACCTTTTTTTTAGGGAAGTCACCTCAGGATGTAGCCGTGTTCCAATCAGTAAAAATAAAGTCTCTTGTCATTGCCAGAGCTATTGAGTTGGAATAGATGGCTGCTTTTTCATTCAGTAATATGATTTGAAATTATGCCAATTAGAAAGAGAGAATTAAGGAAGTGCAAATGCAGCCTGTTAGGGGACTCTGTCTGAATAGTAAGTATAACAAATGCATCGGTTTTAGATTCCATTTTCCATCCAGCCAGGCTCCATCATTTCAAGGAGGAAATTTACTGAATTGAATTAGAGCTCATTTCCGGTTATAAAGGAGCTGCTCCTCTTCTGTGGCTGGTAGGAACAGCCGGAGCTTCACGATCCATTTAAACATCTTGAGTTGTAGTCTTGCACTCGGCAGCTTTGTGTGAAGAATAAATGCTGACCGTGTGAGCAGATTGGCTGGTTCTCAAGGATCAGTAACACGACAGCAGGTGTAGGTCCTGCATCTTGGAAAGCGTGTCCTAAATACTTTATTATTTTCCCCCCTTAGGAAGGATGATTCTGCTTGTGTGTCGTTTAATGCCGATCTTAATAGGCTTTGTCAGGCCCTTTTATTTCAACCAAGAGTATGCAGTGTAGACGCAAATCCTCTCTGATGCCCCATGGACCGTGCAGTACTGAAGGATAAGCAGTATTTGAATGGGACTCGAACGGAGGGAGCAGTGTGACCCTTTTATTCCCATCGTGATGGACTGAGATAGTCCAGTGTCCCTTAGAACGGTAGCATCTACCTCTCTATTGAACGGGAAATGCACTTGTCCTCAAGAAAGGCTGTTAGTACCAAAGCTTTATCCAAATAACCAAATACTATGGCCTGTGGCAGAAATTTTGGCATGAAAATATCATTCTTTGTTGCCATACAATTAATGAAATAGAGGCTTTCATCCCATGTAACATCCCACTCAGTCCCGCCGTGTTCATTTTGCGTTCGCCTTTTCATTTCTCTTTCGGCGGGAGTATACACTGTAGGCTTGGCACATGTGGACGGGCCCTGAGTTGGCTCTAAGATCACAGAGATAAAATGGCGCAGCTTCTCCTAACCAACTTACACTCTCCAGGGGAGGCAGCTGTGGGAACCTTAATTCAGCACTGTTTGCCAAGGGCCATGCAACAATAACACCCTGATTTGGGGACCCAGAGCAGTGCATGTCGGAGACCGTAAGGACAAGAAGTGTCATCATCACCTTCCTCATCTGCTGCATGAACTGGGGGACACTGTTACTTTATGACCACTGACACGAAGGAGTGATTTCAAACTGTGTAATGATGAAAAGGCTTTACATGGCCTTTCCCTCTGCAAGCCTGAGACACCGCTCCTAAACTTACAGTCTGTGGGCAAAGACAGCGACTCAGACACAGTTGTTCCTTCAGGCCTCCTCGGGCCTGCCTTGAGCGAGGTGGACCCTCTGAGCAGTCGTGGAACAGGTGGGAGGCTGGGGGTGGGGGTAGGAGGACCAGCACCTTGGGAGCAGCAGGTTGTAGCTCTTTACAGCACTCTCTTGAATTCAAGCCCTTGTTATATGGCAGGCAGTTGCTGGTCTGTGTGTTTTCCTGAAATTCTATTATACAGTAATATCCTGCCATGACACAGTTCCACTATGGGAGAGTAATTTGGTCTCTAATGGAGAGATCAGTGACGAGGTAAGATATTTCATTTTAAACCAATTATATCCTGATGGCCAACTTAACATTTCCCAGAGGTGGACCACTGTCTAGTTTGGATTGAAAATGTGCATCTTGTGCCCTGCGTGGATAAGAGTTGGGAAGTCACTTCCCTCCGTATGGACGGTTTCCTGTTTGGATTCTCCAGTTGTCCCTTTGCTGTTGCCGGTGCAGCAGAGTGGCTCAAAGCCCAGGACAGCCTGGGACCAGTGACAGGCCGGAGCCCCGGGGCCTGAACAGAGCATCCTGGGCGAACCCGGCCTGGCACCAGTGGGCAGTGAGTCAGCGTGTGGGGTCTGCAGCTCTAGTAGTCCTGCCTGCTTTCGACCCCAGTCAGGGCCACCGTAGATATCCCCTTACCTGACCTCAGTGGCACAGGACACTTCATGGGGATGGAGACAGGCTGAGCTCGGTGTGACAGCTGAGACCCAAGGGCATTATCTGAAGAGGAAAGGTGCAAGTGGTAAAAGCCAGGCCCAGTTACAGAGTGGCCCGGTGCTTGCCCAGAGCGCACTGTGCATTATGGAGCCCATATCTGTACAGACATCTATGCGCCACTGTGTGCACCCCTCGGCCATGTGTGTGCAGGTGCTGGGTTCACATTCGTGCTTCTCAATGACCATTTCATATGGAACTTTTCCTCTGACAGTCATGGTGTATAACGAGGATTGAGGTTCTTCTTAAAGTAACAAAACTCAAAATACTCAACATGGAAGACAGGGTCTCCCATGTATGTGTGTGTGTGGTCCCAGAGAGTGGGGAGTTGAACCCAGGACCTTTGCACTGAGCTACATTCCCAGCCCTCTATTTTATTTTCTGTTCTGAGACAGGGTCTAAGTTACTAAGTTGCCCGGATTGGGCTAGAACTTGCGATCCTCCTGCTTCAGCCTACCAGTGCTACCACAGCCAGCTAAGGGCCCTTGTGTTAATACACAAGTCGGCCGGAAATGCTACTCTAGAGCCAAGTGGTGTATGGTCAGCGGGTACTCTTCTGTAAAGTGGCCTTAGCAGTTGCACAGTGAAGACTGAATCATTCCACACAGTACCATCTATCCCCTCTTGTCACTCAGCCCACGGGCACTGCAGCCACCTCAGCCACTGCGGACACGGCTGTTAGAAACCGTCACTCACTGGACCACTGCTGGGTACCGTATTTATGCCATAAATCTAAGCAGATTCGACCCTAGCAATCTCCATAGTGAAATCTGTCATCATCAAACAGCTGCTTTTCCATGGTAATGTTTTTTTTTTTTCTTAAGGCTGCAGTATTTTTCATATTTAAATTAGTCAGTGATAGGTGCTGTCCTGGTGGTGTAAATCTCATACCCAGAGAAAAGTGGGAATAAGTGAGATACTGATTTGTTGTTTCTTGCTGCAATTTCCCAGGACTCGGAAGGAGTAGAAATCATGTTAGGAGTCTGTGCGAGTGGTCTGTTGATATATCGTGACCGACTGCGAATAAATAGATTTGCCTGGCCCAAGGTTCTGAAAATCTCATACAAAAGGAACAACTTTTACATTAAGATTCGGCCAGGAGAGGTAAGTACACTGCATTTGCATGTGCTTTGGGAAGGAAGGTCCCTGACATGGACAGAAATAGGAATTCTCTGCTCATATGTTCTAGTCATCGTGAGACACGGTGAATTATATCTAAATGCCTGAGAGAATTAGTTGTAGGTTTATCCGATAAACACTAATAAATAACATGTTCTCTTCTTTATTATGTTGTTCTAGTTTTTTCCCAACTGTATGCATTAACTGAAAGGATTTTTTTACAGACATTTTAATATAAAAACAAGATTCATGAATAACTTTTGTATTTATCAAGCCACGGAGAATAAATTTCTTCCCTTGTGTCCTGTTTTTAATAGCTCCATTCTCTCTCTAATTTTTCCTGCAGATTTGACTGCACCCTAATGACTAGCGGAGAGGTACTGTGCTTCAGGGTACAAGGAAGATTAGAACACAGGGTGCTGAGTGTGGGTTATGCAAGTAGTCCACAGCCCAGTCTATTTCCACAGATCCCTACTTTATTTTAATCAGCGAAGCTAATAACAAATCAGAATTGTTAACTCTAGGAACACCCTATAATCAGCTTAGACTTCCATCTTCCTTAGTGTTTTGTACATAACCAGTAGTAAATACCTGCTTTTATTTGTTTAAGAAATTCTTAATAATTGCCTCCAGTTTCTCGTTGGCATGGTAATCTACTGGAGGCAGGCGGAACTCAAAGATTCTCATATATGACTCTGAACACTGGGGCGAGACAGTTACCTCCTGCCTTCAAAATCTACTGCTGCAGTGGAGTTTCTTAGCAGAAATGCAGTTTTAAAAAAACAGATAAATCAAACAACCACGATGAATGCAAACTTAAAAATCACAGTTATCTTTGACACCTGAAATAATCTATCAGCTTTCCATGTAAATAACTGGAATCATAAGGTTTTTAAGATATTCTAAAGATGATATCTATTTAACATATCTAATCTCTTCTAAATATTGTTTGTTAAACTTATAAGGCATGAATTCTCTGGACATTTATTAAGTGAGCAATTAGTGTCCAGTCATCATGATAAGCATTGGAAACATGACCTTGTTCCTCTTAAGATTTTGTATGAGAGACACAGAACCATGATGCCAGTGAGATGATATTGCAAAAACAGAATGAGGATGGTGTTGTCAGAGCACAAAGGAATACTGGAGAAAGGAGCCAGGCTGTAACACTGGAAGTGTGGCTTTCTTAATGAAATTCAACTTCCTAGTAGTACAGTGATGGACCCAGACCAGGGCAGAGGGTGTGGGGAGGAAACGTGTGAGAGGAGCTTCAGGGGGAAGCAAAAGGTCATGGGTGCACTATGCAGCGAGAGCCCGGGGCAAAACCGAGTGTTCTCAGTGGGAGAGCACTTCCCTAGCACAAGACCCAGTACCTCAAAATGGGCAGAGAGAGCAACCAGGAAAAACCTTTGTAAAGTTGACTGATGGAGGTGATCTTAGGCAAGAGAAAGAAAGAAGGTGAATTTCAGGAAAGAAATCAACAACAAAGATTGCAGCCAGGCGCCTTGGTGCATGGACACCTACACTCCTAACACTCTGAGAGGCTGAGGCAGGAGGATGGAAAGTTTGAATTCAGTCGGGTGACTTCACGACTTAAGGAGATCCTGACTCAAAAAAATTTTTTAATTTACTCAAGGCCTTAGACAGTATCCAAAGAGCAAGGGAAGTTCAAGAAGATGTCCTGAAATAAAAATTCTGGGTAATACCATTATTTAAGAGAGGGGCAGGCAGAAGAGAAACTGAAGGAGATGAAGAAAAACATCTAGAAGAATAACAGGTTCTTTGCGGCACAGATTGCTTTGGCTGCTAATTATCTCAGTAGTGGGTGTTTTGTGGGCTTTGGGATGAGCCTTTCCTGTTTAGGGTGACTGCCCCCTGGTGGCCGGACGGGTGATCTCTTCAGAAACTGAAAATTCTACATCTAGAGGTAGTACTGAAATGTTGGCAGAAAAATCAGATAGGATGTTTCATCTTGAAAAATCAAATACCTGACGTATCATCTGAAAATACACATGCTGCAAAATGTGGGAATTATTTCTCCTAATCACTGATCTTATAACCCACAGTGGAACATACAAAGGGTAGCAGCCATGTTGGACACTAAGACATCAAATACCTAGGAGAAATACATAAAGTGTCATTTCTAAGTATGCTTTACACTTACATTTTGTTCATTTCTGTGCATTCCAGGTGAGGTCATTGTCATTGAGAAACCATGAAAATAAGACTTAAAAATTAGATCAGCGCAAACTGACCTCTGGGAGAAATCCGGTGCCTTCTTTTTGTTTAGTTTTCCTAAGATTCATCCTTGGGCAAAAAGCATTTAGTGCATGCCTAACATTTATCTGTACCCGTAGCACTTGAAAGAGAGAGATGTAAGGGTTTTTTAAATGGATAAATGTATATAATTTGTGGGTGGCGTTATGATTTTGAAATTAATTCACAGAGCTTCTGTTATGTGTGATTCTAAACTTGACTTTACTCTTCAACGTGTTTCTTTAATGTAGTTTGAACAATTCGAAAGCACCATTGGGTTTAAGCTGCCAAACCATCGAGCTGCCAAGCGTTTATGGAAAGTGTGTGTGGAACACCATACATTTTTCAGGTAGGGAGAGATCGTCATTTCCGTATAAGGAAGAATTAGAAAGATTGGAATCACTGATGCCGAAAAGATGGTTGGGAGGAACAACACTTTCTGTTCCCTCCAGTTCATGGCACCAGATTGCTTGATAAGAAATCATAACAGAATTCCTGATTAAACTTGAAGAATTTTCTTTGTCTTAGCTGCCCTACTCCCTTATGTGTTTATTTACTTATTTCTGGTACCAGGATTGAACTCTGAACCTTGAACGAGCAAGGCAGGCGGCAGCACCACTGAGCTAAATCCCGGCCCCCACTCCCTTTATTTCTTTCTTATCCTCACAGCGTCCTTTTCAAGTACACAGTCCACTCCTTACTATTTCAGAAATCCCTCCACATCCTGGACTCTCTTGCCCATCTATGGTACTAGGGCGATCCGTTTTGGGCCCATAGAACAACAAATCGGTCTTCATCCATACTTATTTAGGTGGTCTTTGGGCTCACAGAACCCTGACCTCTGTACTTGTTTGCATGTAAAACTTGGCTTAGTGCCACGCACTTACATCCACCTCTCTACAATACCCGTACTAATTAGTATATACTTTGTAGTTGAATCCTTTTTCCTCATAAAATGAGGTATTTAACTACAAGTTGCTTGTCAAAATTTAGCACCCAGAACACGGTGAAAAGTTTAAAAAGCGGCCTAGACATTTGACGTAATCTCCCCGACGCCTTTCCTTAAATATCTTTAGACTGCTGCTACCCGAAGCACCGCCAAAGAAATTCCTCACCTTGGGTTCCAAGTTCCGGTACAGCGGCCGCACGCAGGCACAGACGAGGAGGGCCAGCGCTCTGATCGACCGCCCCGCGCCTTACTTCGAGCGCTCGTCCAGCAAGCGCTACACCATGTCCCGCAGCCTGGACGGAGGTGGGTGGCGCGGAGCCCCTGTGAGCTTGCAGGAGGCACAGAGCGGCGTGGACATCGGGAATGAGAGGCAGCCGTGAATCTCGGATGGGTAGCAGGTGTCTGAAGTCCTCAACTCTAAGTAGTGCCCTTGGCAGGCTCCCCTCTGCTACCGGCAGATCTGTGTGACCCGACCAGGATTGGCCAAGCTGCCGAAGTGAAGTGCGGAGCTTTCAGAAGCCTGCACGCGAATTTGGAGAAGAGGCGCCATGTTAAGTGTAGTAATTAGGTTCCCTGTAAGCAATTCGGGTCTCTTGCCAGCAGACCTTAAATGATGAGCAGGTTTCTTTCAGCCTATTTGTTTCAGAAAGAAAATGGTAAATTGAATTTATCTCTTACCCAAGGTGGAGGGGTGAAATGAGGTCACTGCCACCCAGTTGCTGGTAGGAGCTGCTGGGCACTTCTGGGCCAAGGCCTCTCATGGTACTGACCTGAGGACCCGAGGCCCGGCTGGGCCAGTGTCTTCTCATTGAGAACAGCTGGAGATTGGTGTCTTATTGAAGCTGCATCCCATGCAAATGAAGAGAGTCAGAGGATTCTGGTGTGTGAGGGGGGTGGTTTCCATCAATTAGCAAAAACAAAAATCAGCAAAAGTTACAACTGCCCTGGGCCATCTCTCTCGCTTTGTTTCTGTAGCTGCTTCCTGTAGAGCCTCAGTCCCTGATGCCCCCAAGCCAGGGCGCTGAGATGAAGGACCCTTGAATCCTCTGATTAAAAAGCCAGTGTTTTCTAATCAGATATTGTATAAACTGCTTGGAGAAGGAGCCTGACAGTGTTGTAAGTGTCTGTCGTGTGTGTTGCTCTCAGAATGGAAACAGTACTCGGCTAGCCGTGGCAGTGCAGAGTGCGCACACTGCGTTCTCCATCTGGGCGACAGGTGGGAAATGCTTTCCGCACCCTAGGCCTCAGTTCAGTCATCTGGAAAATGGGAGGAACACTGCCCTGGACAGAGTAAATAAAAAGTAATAAGATATATGAGAAAGCAATCTCAGTATCGGCGTGATCATAAATGTCCCAGAAGTTACACTGGTAATTGTTCTTACAGGTTTCCGCTGCTGGCCTAAAAAGTTCATTGCAGTGGGCCTTCCATATCCATGGGCTCCAGATCTGCTAATTCAACCTACTGCAGGCAGAAACTGCTCTTCTTAAAAAATGACGCCCATGCCAAACATGTACACTCTGTTCCTTGTCATTATTATGTAAAAGTGGGTGGGGATTTACACGGCATTTACGTTGTGTGGTAGGTGTTAGAAGTAACCGAGAGCGGATTTCAAGTAACTTGGAGAGCCAGGTATTGTGGGGCCCACCTCTTATCTCAGCATTCTGAGAGGCTGAGACAGGAGGAGGGCAAGTTCAAGGCCAGCCTAGGTAATTTAGCAACTTGGTGAGGCTCTGTCTTAGAATTTAAGAAGGAAGAGGAGGAAGAAAAAGAGGAAGGAGGACAAGACTCAGTGCAAAGGCCCTGGGTTCAATCCCATAAATAAATAAACAAAGCTTCCATACCTAGGGAAGGGAGGGGGATCGAGGGGAGTATAGGATAAAATAAAATAAAATTTATTTTTAAAATCAGTAAATAGGGCCAGGGATATAGCTCAGTGGCACTGCACCTGCCTCGCAAATGAAAGATCCTACATTCGATCCCCAATACCAAAATATAAATAAACAAATAAGGTACATATCAGTAATCAGCAAATGTCACACCATTTTATGTAAGGGACACAGGGATCTTTGGATTTTGGTACCCACAGAAGTCTTAGACGCGCAGTCCTTTGTGTATACCAAGGGGCTACAGTGCCATTCTGTCTCCTAGGATGTCCAGAATGCCACATTTAGAGCCAGCTCTGTGAAATAAAATATTTGCCAGGACCGTTGCAGGTTGAATTCAGATTCTGACCTGCCTGTGTATAAGGCTTTCCTTTCTGCTGTGTCGCATTTACTTGTCTGCACCTCTGTTAACTGACTGTCCGTTCTCTGTGTGAGGAACTTGGGTAGCGTCCCCCTTGTCAGTGGTGTGTGCCTCAGGGAACACACTGGCTGTGAGTGTGTTCTCCTCCTGACCTTGTGTGTGCAAATGCCTGCAGAGAAGCTGGAAGATAGTTGTGAAGTCAGTGTATTTATACCATCCCATAGCTTCCTCCTGCCTGCTGGAGGTTATAGCATGGGCTGCCCACGCTTTGCCACACTGCCAGACCCGTGTGCCTGCCTCTGCCGCTGCCCTGGGTGCATGGTCCCAGACTGGAACATAACCTGCTTTTTGCAAAAAAAGCACATAGAAAAAAAGCTGTTTCTATGGCAACACATAGAAACAGCCTACCTGGTCCCTGGAGCTTTTCCCTCATTATAAAGAGACATGAAAAATCTTAGTGAAGATATTTTAGTAAAGTAGTTTAACTATTAAAAAGATTTCAGGAAGGAATTTATTTCTAAATCCTTCCTTTTAATTCTATTTTTAAAATTCCTAAAATATGAAGGCAGATCATGTTTTGACTGCAGTTAGCTACTATTTGTAAAGCAGCATTCATACATTTCTAATAATTTTTCTGATATGCAAATCCTAAAATGATGAATACTTGATTTTAAAATTTTAACTGAATTAAGCATGTCTTTTACTAAGACTTTTTAGCTGGGTCGGAAGTCTACCTTATATCTCTGATGTTTGCATGTTATTATTTGCACGAATTTCATTTATCAACATTTGTCTTGTTTTCCCAAAACATTAACAAAGTGAACAAGCATCTGTGCATCTCATCATGGTGGTCCGTTTAAAATGCAGTGTATATTCAAACACTTCTTGTATATTGGCTGAATGGAATTGCCATCTGAGTATTGGGAATATTGGCAGTGTGGTTCTTTTTTGCTATTAGCCTTAGGGCTTTCACGTTGTAGGAATGGTTGACTTTTTAACATTAAAAAAATAACGATAATGATCATGAAACTACCTGTGATTCAGTGCTGCTGGATCAGTGGCACTTCCAAAGATCTGCTCAGAAGCAAGCATGTTTATTAGGGCACTGGTCTGCTGCAAGTGCTGTGTCATGGGACTGACCAGGAAGCAGTGCTGCTGCCCACTGGCTCCTCTGAAGGGTGAGGAGCCCAGGGTCCACCCTGCTACAGCCTCACACACGCCCTCACCACAGAGCCGGGGCATGGCCAGCATTGTCCTGGACATTTAAGTAGTTTTAGAACACGGTTGTAGATGAAACAGAGATGAGCCTGTGGTGAGGCTTGTGCGAAGGTGCCCACTGATGCGTTGCTTTGTTTGTTTTTTAAGAGAAATCCTTTATTTTGCAGAGGAATTTCTTTTAAACCAGTGCTGGGGACACTGATGCTGTTCACCTGTCTTCTGACTTAACTATTTCAGATTTTGTTTCTCCAATTGTATTTGCTTTTAGCATCAGTGAATGAAAACCATGAAATATACATGAAGGATTCTATGTCTGCTGCAGAGGTTGGTACTGGCCAGTACACCACAACAAGGGGCATCTCTCAGACCAACTTGATCACCACTGTGACTCCGGAGAAAAAGGCCGAGGAGGAGCGCGATGAGGAGGAGGAGGAAGACAGACGGAGGAAGGCCGAGGAGGCCACGCCTGTGTCTGGGATCCGGCAGGAGGGAAAGGTACAGCCCCAGGCTGGCGCCCAGCAGCCACCTCCTGCTGCTCAGGAGGCGCGGGGATCCTGAGGCTGTGCCCAGGACCTGTTGAGATGCAGGGAAGCCCTAGGATTGCAGCTTCAGCATTTGCTCACTGAAAGTTGCTTTCTTAACGTTTAAAACCTTTTTCTCTTAATGAGGGATGTGCTATATAAGACTTTCAACAGCTGTCCTGTGTGTGTCTTTTTAAAATACTCTGGGTGCTTTTGCTTGGGTTTGCAACGCAAAACTTTGCCAAAGCTGTTTTCTTTGTTTCTGGCCCCAGTCTCCTACCCAAGTGTAGAATATTTTTCTAGACAGGGTAAGCACACCCTACCCTTCTGATATGAGTACACTGAGTGCCCGTGGCCTGGGTCTTTTTGGTCACCCTTTCTTAGTCTTCTCCTCTAACCAGCAGAGGGGTGAGTGGCTGTGCTTTGAAAGCTGTTGCTCAGGCACAAGGTCCCAAGGGAAGAAAAAAAAAGTAGGTTCGTTAGCAATTTCTCCAGGTGTTTTCCACCGTGCATTTTGTGACATTGTTTCCCACAAAGCTAAATTTCTTCTTGAAATTTAAACATCACCCTCGTTTGTGGGGATCCATCACAATAAAGCAACTTTTTAGGAAAAACAGTTTAAAGGTCGACATAGTTGGGAGGTTTGTACATGATAATAATTGGAAGCCGGAGTGATCCTGGAGCGCGCAGGGTACAGAGAGACAGGAAACACAGCAACAGTGTTTGTGTAAACTGCAAGTTTCTCTGAAATGATCCACGAGTGGGCTCTTGAAATACACGTGTATGTGATAGAGAATCACCACTCAAGATTCCATAGGAAAATATTTATTCCCCAAGAATTTAACATTGATATTTTAACAGAGTGGATGAAGAAATAATTTTGGTAGTCATATTACAATATTCCAAGTGACTCAATCCATTTTCTTTTTAAGTTTTGCTCTTCTTAAGGATTCTTTTACTTGCCAAGTACAAGAATAAAAGCACAGGGTAGAAAATGATGGCAGGGTCCTGTGGATCACACGCTGTTAAGATGTGCTTTTGTCCTAAATTTCACAATTCCACTGTTCCTGCCAATTCCATCCAGGGCAGGTTTTAACTGGGCCATGAAAAGAAGACAGTGCACCCAAAATGCAAATGTTCCTTACGCTTAATTAGTTCAAACTTCTGCAACATTGCCCATCCCAACAGATGATTCTCATGGCTGTGTAAATATAATTCTGTGACACGCAAAAGTAAGTGATTTTTAGTTCACTCCCAAAATAGGTCCAGGCAGTCTGTGTTTGATTTTGAAAGACTGCCGTGTCGCTTTGACCTGTGATACGCTTTATGCCATGGGAAAAGGCAAAGACAGCACAGCGCCCTCGGCACCTGAGTCTGAGAAGCCAGTGCTCCGGGCAGGGATCTAGCACTGATGCCGACCATCTTTCTTAGCCCCGGCGCAAAGCTGTCTTTTACAAATCACTTTAATATGCAGCATAGAAGTTTCAACTTCAGTTTTATTCTTTTCCATCTTCAAAAGGTAACATAAAGAATACTTGCCATTTTTTTATGAAAATCAAAATGTACTACTGAAAATAGTTCTGAAGAGAGTAGCCTCGGTTTCCTGGGGAAGAGACCTCTTCCTGCTGCTGACTCCCCAGGTCCGGGCAGCCAAGGACAGCAGCCCTCACGCGGTGGCTCATAGCACGCTGAGAGCTGTGCAGCTTCTCTAAGGTGCAAACATGAGTGTGCCTGCACAGAGACACGTCCAGTGCTGATGCAGCCAGGACGTACTCTTACTCGTGTATCTCCTTTCCCTCGTGTCTCCGATGGAATTTTCTTTGTGCATTTTCTTTCCCGCTGTTGCTGTATTTACCATGTCTCTCCAAGTCAGGATTGGATAACCATCACCGAGCAGCCTGGGCAGCCTGCGTGCTGTCAGGTAAAACACACACAAGAGGCTCACAGTCAAACGCAGGCATAGCAGCGGCAGGAGAGGTCTAACCCTCCTGAGGCTCTGTGCACCCTGGCCTTGAATTCACCAGGCCTGGGCAGCTCCGTGCTCTGCCCAGTTCCCACTTGTTTTCTGCCCTCCGAGGCCAGCAGCCCTTCACCATGAACAGAAGAAACCAGCTCCAAACATGGAGACCCCAGAGCCCCTGAGACCAGAGCTAGGTTCAGCCTGAGGTCACCAGGGCGCTGCTGTGTATGTGCAAAGCTGTCAGCTAAGAGAAATCAGAGGCTGGAAAAGTGTCTTTCTGTCATTTGTCTAGTACAAATAGTGGAAACCAAACCCATGGGACTGAGCAAAAAGAACACCACTGATTTTAGCTGATGGTCCTCCTACATCGTAGGTAAAGGACCCAGGAGAGAAGTTTGAAAAGAAATTTCAATTCTTTGCGGGGAGTCAGAGCTCTGAAGTGCCAGTCATTGAATCTGTCAGTTGTGCCTGTGTATCAGGTAGGAGAGGGGCCAGAAATCTGTTGCTTCAAAAACCCACCTTTTTTATAGATATGACTGACGACCAAGGAAAAGAACAATACCAGAATTTTGTTTTAAAAAATTAATCAATATTTGAATTGGATTTCATTTTTAATCTAGCTGAAGTATCCTAACAGATCTGTTACCTAGAGATCAGGAAAGGTTATTGAAAGTCTTGATTTTGATTTATTAGATTCGTTTGCTCTCAAAACCCTAAAGCTTTCTAGCATCGTGGGCCTAAAATGAAATTTGCTGATCATGGGAACCGTGTAGACATTGGGATTGCCCGCGAATCCCTTGTGTCCTGACTTGAGAAATCACACCCTGTGTGAGACTCTCTCATCCAGGGGAGAGCTGTGGCCACCCGTGGGGACCTGGCATGCAGCTCGACTCCCGTACAATTCACGAGCTACCCTAGTGCTGAACTTTTTGTTTTATAATTTTATATCGATACCCATAAGGAAATTTAACTAATCGCAGTTTTCTTTTTGTCCTTTTGCACCTCTGTTTGCCGCTTCCTGTCTCTCTGTCTCCCTCTCTGCAGTCACCCAGGCTTGGCCCTGACTCATGTCCCTCGTCACCCCCTCCCGCCCCTGCCCATCCCGCATCCTCCCCAGAGCTCCGTAGGAGGTGTAAGGAGAAGGGACCCAAAGCACCGGGCTGCGAGGCGCCGGAAGAGCCCACAGCGGCGGAGGCCCAGGGCCAAGGGAAGGCGCGCTTGGGGGAGCAAGATATGGCCTTCCGCTGCCGGCCGCCGGCCGCCAGCAAGGGCGCCACCCTGTTCTCCTTCTCCTTGCAGCTCCCCGAGTGCTTCCCCTCGCTGCTCGATGACGACGGGTACCTCTCTTTCCCCAGCCTGTCCGAGAGCGGCCTGCTGCCCCGGAGCCTGCAGCGCTACCTCCCCATCCGCTCGCCCTCCCTCCTGCCCTGCTTCCTCTTCCTCTTCTTCTTCCTGCTCTCCGCCTCCTTCTCAGTGCCCTACGCCCTCACGCTCTCCTTCCCTCTGGCTCTGTGCCTCTGCTACCTGGAGCCCAAGGCGGCCTCCTTGAGCGCCTCCCTAGACAATGACCCGAGTGACAGTTCAGAGGAAGAGGTGTGTACC